CGAAAAACAGACGACACTTTCAGCGGGGGATCGGTGACCACCGTAAAAATAAAGGCTTTATTAATAGAAATCCATTGATAGAACAAGCTTGTCTGTGTCTGCAATTTTGAATTCAGCTTTCGCCGGGTTTTCGGGGCTATGCCACGATAGGGAAAAGGATTTAAGGTGTCGGGGCAAAATGTCATTATGTGCGTAATGGACTCGAGATGGTGGCACATCCAGCAGATTATTTAAAAACAGCTGGTTTCCTGGTGAAAATCGTGGGTATATGTATGCCGATCTGGTCCGGCCCACTCAGCCAAGGAAAGTATTAGCATCCGCCGGAAGTGGGGTCGCCAGAAGTAGCTTCTATAAATGGCTATAGGTATGCTTTTTGATCTTTGCAGCGTATTTTTTTGTTGACGTCGGCACTAGAAAAACTATATGCAAAACGTAAACTGCCATAGATCCCAGCCGGCTTCAGAGTTGAAAAGCCGCGCAGTTATTCATAAACACTGGCACCTATTAAATAAGTATACCTCTACACCACAAAAACCGCCAGCGTCAAAGAAAAGCCACGGCGGGAAGGTGTGAGGTGTTGTGAGTGGCACTCCTCTCCCTTCCTTCCCTCAACCTTCACCGGTGCCGCGTACCCCCCCTGAAAGAGAAGTTCGGTTTAAAGTTTAGTCGTGGGTCGTGTGGATGGGTGATGGGAATGTGCCGTGGTGCCTGGGCCTCCCTTTTGCTTGGTCCGTGTTATTATGGATTGCCGGAGGGCCAAGAGAGACAGACAGGACCTCAACGATCCTCCGTTCGAACAGCAACACATCGATCCCTGCTCTATCCCTTCTCTATCACCGACATCCCGCCACCCTCCTCACCCCTCTTTGGCCCCAAAGATATCACTGGATCTTGCACCCGACGCGGGCCCATTCGCATCTTTATATTATCTAGTCAGTTATGGGACCGTTAGAAGCGAATTACTCAACTTCACGATCAGATTCATTTTTGCACCCTGGATCGTTAAGCTAATCACGCGTTACTTTTGAGACACAGCTATTCCGCTGCCTACAAAGATTTCATCCGGAAATATACATCGGTTCTGCACCCAATGAGGGTCCAATTGGCTTTCTTTCCAACCGTCCATTTTCGGATTCTGTACGCTGGCATGTCTTTATTCGCTGCTGGTGCTTAGGCTATTCTTGCCAAATACATTATACCCCGACGATGGCCTTCCCGGTATTTAGACCCACTGGGCATCACCTTTATTACCCAGCCGATTTCTTCCGTCGCTGATGTTCCGGGATTCCCGGAAGATGATGCTCTTTTTAAAATTCTCCGTAATTTTTCGGAAAATTTTATCTAAGCCACAATTCGCTTCTTTCTTTCCTATTCCTATATTAACTGTTGAGACATGGTACTTTCCCCGTCGTCGCATTTTCGATATTGCCATTTTCTACCGTTCCTTGCTAACTTCTTGAAAACTGATCTAGAACCACGTTAATTTCTCGTTCAAACTAATTGATGAACGATCTTGTGCATCACAGCCTAAACTTTTTGATTTTCCTTTTTATTCGACTGTCGGTGGAAGCCTTTGCTCCCCCCGTACAGTTTGCTCCCCCGCTGTTGCAGATTTCTGAAGATTTTCTGAAGAAGATTTCTCGCGATTCCAAAAAAAATGGTAAACTATTTTTGTGTCTTGAACAAAAATTTCAAATGACAGGGCGTACCTCTGTTTTCTAATCTCCAAATTTATCCTGGGCTGCCACCTATCTAACCCTCAACCCCTGATCGCACCGATCCACCTCCCTCGAATACAGCCCTGGTGATTTTGTGTACGACTATGCGAGGTCGATCAGCTTTTGATCTATTTTGTGGCTATACTTGAACAGAGCCTAAGTGGTGAAGGGAGGCAAGAGAGCGAGAGAGAAAACGGGCGCCGGATATAATGAAGACAAGTGGGGGCATATTGTGTGGCATGATGGATGGGTCTCTCACTTCTCGAATCAACTCTGCTAATTCCCGTTGCCTCGACGAGGGCATGTGGCCAAAAACCTGTCCTTTACGTCCGGGTTCGGATATATTTTGGGCTAATGAAGTTTATTTTCTGTGCCTTCTGAATTTCTGGCGTGGAACCGAGATCATACCGAAAACCAGGATGTAATTTTTGCCTTTTACGCATTAATGATAACGTGTCTGACCTGGTTTCTCTAATATGATTCAATATCATTTTCGCTATTTATTTATAGTATATATAGATATTTACCTATATATCCAATCACGTCCAGAATTTCTAATTCCTTTTCTCTTTCTTTTTTTATTTTCTGACTGTCTAGTTTTTCCCGAAAAACCGCCCGACTATTTGATCGGCATTTCTCGCGCTCTACTAATATACTTTGGGTAATTTTTATGCTTTTGATTTTTAACTAGCTTTTTTACATACTTACTGTAAAGTGTTTTTACTCAGGCTGGCGTTTTGGGATGGGAGCAAGCCTATCTTGTGCAGAATTTTCCGCTGATTCCGAATCTGATTTCCAAATCTGCTGCCGACTTTTATTTAAAAAGTTATTTGACATTTATGCTATAAAAAGTGCCAAAATCTGGATTTTTTCGCGCTATTTTTAAGTTATCTTCATCTTCAACGTTAAAACTGGGTCGGTAACGGTTTTAGTGGTCAAATCGCGATTTATGCAAAAAATTATCTTCTTTTGTGCAAAAAGCAAAAGAAATTGTGCAGGGCGGGGTTCGAACCGCCGCCCTGTGTTTGGCAAGCGAACACCTTGCCAATGCACCATGGTGCCAACTCGGCAGGGTGCTTCGGAAGGGTAGATAAGGCGCACAGCAATCCCTGGGTCCAGACAGGGAAGAGTGGGCCAGCATCCGAATTTATGCCGTTTTCAAGCTTAATTTCGACCTGACATGACTTTTCAACGCGAAGTCCGCAGCAAATTTGGAAAACGGATTCGGAATCAGCAAAAAATTCTAAACAAGATAGTCTTGGTCCCATTCCAAAACACCAGCCTGAGTAAAAACACTTTACAGTTAGTGTCTTCTTCCTTTACCCTTGATCTCACGTACGCGACATTCCCACCCAAAAGTCTCGCAACCCAATCCAATTCCGTTTCTCCTCTTGTATGTCCTAGTTGATTTTTCTGGACCTCCATCATCCCTTCTTTGACTTCTCCCTCATCTCCATTGGATCACCCTCTCCTACTCCTGCCATCACTTATGAGAAAGCTTTTAGGGAGACTTCTTGGCGTTGCCGGGCTTCTGTGGAGGACAACGTCCCCGGTTTTCGACCTGCCCCATGCACCCTTGAGTGAGTTCATTGTTTTTGCCCATTTTTGCTGCTTATTATGGTTTTTCTGCGAGCTCTGGGTTTGCTAGGGGTTACGTTGAAAGCTTTTGGCAGTGGCTGGACATAAAAATCTTGCGAAAACGTAGCGTTTTGAAAAAGACCATCACGGTAATATTTTAAGGACATGTTTAATTTTCACCATAATTAGCTTTCTACAGTGGCTGTTAAACGTTAAAAATTGCGACAAAAAGAGCACCTTTTTTCAGTCTTCCGGAAACCAAATCAAAATTTCCTGATCAGTATGGATTTTAATTTTTTTTGTGGTGCGCTACAAAAAGATATGTTACACTATTTCTTAAGATTTTAACTGGGCGCTAAATTTAATTGGGAATATTTTTTCTATTTTTTGGGAAAAGTAGAATCAATTTGAATTAGGTTTTAAATATATTCCGATATTTCTTAAGACTATTGACAGGATCTCATATTTATATAAAATAATCCCACTGTTTCTTAAGATTCTAGCGAGTTTCTAAATTTAGAAACACCTCCTTACGCATGCATTAGCTCCTTTCCGGCCATCTCCCCACTCCAACTCTCAAAACCAAGTACCGCCCCCCGAATAAGATCAACCCCCAAGATTACCCTTGATTTACACGACACCATTTTTTCACTGCCAGCCTGAGCATTGGTTTGCCATGGGAATTTCCAAGCAAGGCTGGGCCCTAGAAGGAGCGTTGGTGGAAGATTGGGCCTCCCCGGTCCGGGGGGTCCGCCCCTTTTATGTATACAAAGGAGGGCCATCGCGTGTGTGTCCATCCCTTCCCGCCACAAACAGCATAAACTTCTACGTCCCGGGGGCCCATCCGGAAGATCTGCGCTTCTTCCCTCCTGCCACTAATGCCTATCCTTGACACTTTTCGACGCTCGTAATGGTCCCGCTGTTCCGGGAGCTCTACAATCAATTAGCGGAGAAAGCGTTCGTTTTTGGCAGACAAATTTTGCCATTGTGTTTTGAGACCCAGTAGTTTCCGGCGCTTTTCGCCCTAAAATTATTGGTGTTTTGTAGAGGAATGAATTGGTTATTCTGTAAAACCACCCAAAAGGCCATTTATTAGTTTTCGTTTTTTTTTAAATTTTGAAATCCGCTAGGTTGAAAGGAACCATCATCAGCTTTGTTCTTTGTTGTTTGAAGACCTTAATTTTTTTTGTCCAAGAAAACCATGCGAAAATTCCGTTTTTTTTGTGTGGGATGCTTTCCCTTTTGACCCTGAAATCTGATATGGGTGAGGGTGGATGTTGCGCATCCCCGAGGCCAAGGATCGGCTTACAAGTAGAAAAAGAGCGATAAGTGGATCTAAGGATTAACAAAGGGTAAATAAAGTTATAAATTCATTTTTTACTTTTTGTCTACCTAAAGGTGAGATTCACAATTTTTCGTTCTTTTTATCAACGAATTAAATAGTGGCACAAACTCGAGTACCACTCCTGGTGAGCCTGGATGAGGGCGAGGAGTGTACATTTCAGTTTAATAAATCTATAGAAAAATTAGCAACCAAGATAGACGGAATGGAATGCTTTGAACTGGCTATTTACGTTAAAGTCACTACTTACCAAGCTTAGGAAAAGCAAGGGTGAAACGTGGTGGTCTTTAGGCTACATCAATCAATGTATTTTTATTTAATGAATTTATTTTAGGCGGCCAGCAGGCGAGGGGCGTCGAGGGATGGGGCGTCGCGGCAAGGGGGCCTACGACATCATCAATGAGGACCTCTTCGACTGCCGCGTCCCCGTCCACAATGAGGTCGCCTACCAACACGGAATCCATTTCGAGGCCAAGGCAAGTAATCTTGTTAATGCCTCTTTACCGAGCTTCTTCCCGCATGTTCTGCGAATTCAACTTTCTTTTGCAGTTGTTTGCTCCTCCGCAATCTGTTTTTGGCGCCGAAAACCTGTATTTTCTCGGCCCAGAAAAAATATGACAAATTCAATTTGAATTGTTTAATTTCTGGGCATAGCTTTTCATAATTTATGACCTATAAGGGAGCGTATTCAAGTCAGCTTTGAATTTCTTTCAAAAAAATGAGCAAAAGTGCCGTATGAAAAATTTAATTCTATTTCAACTATTTATGTAGCGATCCGCTTTCGTAATCACTCGAAAAGGCATTAAGACGTATTGATGTCAGCCCTTTTTAGCCTGAATTCTCCTTCGGGCACCTCCAAAAACATCCTACTTTTTTTCTTTTTTCTACTTTCCAACATTCCAACTTTCCAGCATCTAACATTTCCAAGTATCCATTAGTAAAATTCCTATTTTGAAATGCATCACCTTCATGTGTTCCCCTCCCTCGGTGCGTTACTTTCCTCCCCCATTTACCCAGTTCTGGAACTCATCAGTGGTGCGCGGTAGTGCGCGTTCCCCCATGGGGCTCCTCTCTTCTCGTTGGCTTCACCCGGCGAGGCTAATCCCCCCCTATCTATGCAGCAAACAGTTTTTTCGGATAGAAACTTTCCGGGGATAGCCCTCCCCATGGAATCTCATTATGGGTGCTGCCCCAGTGGGGGGAATGCTTTTTTTTGGGTTTGTGGGTGTTTTGTGTGCGTGTATGTGTCCCTTCACTTCGGGCCATAGGTCTTCGCTGTCGGCGAGGCTGTCCCAAGGGAGGGGTTGCTCATCTGCCTGGCTCCTCATCTCGAATCCCCCCGGAGACTACCCAAAAATGCCTCCCGGTTGTGTGGGGGGAGCCCCAAACGGAGCAGGGCGGCTCGTGTGCAATTCTTTCAATTTAGCCTGAACACGGGACGGAGACGTTATTCGTGTTGAGTGGCTGAGAAGGGCACGGGAGGCAAGGCAATATATAGGCAATATAACAGCTATTGCGGAGAAGAAGGGAATTCGGATTGGGTGGGTGGGTGGGTGGGAGAGGATTATCCATGGTGGTGATGGGGCGGTGATTGCTGAATTATTTAGAAATTTCCTGGCATTAATCGTTTTCGTAAAAATAATTTCATAGCGTGAAAACCATCAGTAAAATCTTCGTATAAATCGGCTTTTTTCGCCGGTTTTCGAGTATATGTGGCTATGCTAACCTTAATAAAAAACTTCTGGAAACCTGGAAATGTGTTTTCGACATGTCGAGATTTTCATATAAATCGTAGTCTTGTGAAGACCATTTGCAACCCTGTTCTGATGAACTTGAATAAAATCAAAAAATCTCAGGGAAGCTATATTTTTCGACAACCATTTTAGTTTCTCAGATCGTCATTAGTGCGCATTCATACGGCACCTGCCAAGAACTTATTAGTCTCGACCCCACGACATCCCAACCCATGCCCTCCCGCTACAACCCGTAAATGAGCCCATCGCTCCCGGAATCCACTCTTTCCCAGCTCCCGCCCAAGGGGTGAATCGCGCCAACTCTGGGCCCTAATGACCCTAAATAGGCCACAATGGAACGGACAAACCTCAATTAGCCCCTCGGACAGCGTTGGGGCCACCCGCCACGGGCTCCTTCCATCCCCCCTTCAGCTTCTCCTTCCAACCATCCACTTCCCATTCGCAAGAAATCAGGGACGACAGGCTTGTCTCCACAAAGTGGATCTGGCGTCTAGTAAGAACTAGCTGTGAGAAAAAAAAGGTGCCGTGAGGATTTAGGGGTTGTGGAGAAGAAAGAGGATGTGGGGTGACGGGGTGGTGGACGTGAAAACGCAAGCTAAAAAGATAATAGCATAACATATTCCGGATGCCCGACCTCAATGGGGGGTTGGAAGGCAGAATCCAAGTTCTTGTTAGTCCCTAACAAGCTTTTGCATACGTACCTTCCTGACGCCCTTAAAGGGATACCCAAGGTTTTGGTGGCAAATATATAGTTATGTATTCTGGACAGTACAAATGATGCGCAAATTTTGCGCGGCAACGGGCCCCAAAGTAGCACAGAATTCGGACCCCTTTCCTTCTTGTGGCGTTCCCATCCCGCCCAATCGCTTGCCACTATGGCCTAATGGATAGCATTGAGGTCTACAATACGGGGGTTCCGGGTTCGACCCCCGCCCGCGGCATGGTTTTTGCTTTTCGAGCCCCGGAAAGGTTGGGCATCCCTTTAAACGCCGAATTGTCGTAATGCCAAAGTTCATGATTCAGCATTATCATAATGCTGAGTTGCCGCAACGCCGAAACAGCATGATATCAAAATCACGAAATTCCGAATTTCTATCAAATATACTTCATGCATACGCCTATTCTTCAAATATTACACATGGTGCCGGGCGGAAAATACTTGGCTCTAGAAGCAAAAAAAGGAAACGAACAGTACATTTAGATTCGGCATTACGGCATCTAGGCATTTTGAAAACAGAACATCATACATAGTCCCCGTAATTCAGCATCTGAAGTGGCATTGAATTCCCCAGATCAAATATTACAATTTTCAGTATGTCGGCAGCATGGAGATCCCACGTCCAGGCACCCGCATTGAGATCGTGGCCGCAATGCGACGCGTCAGGGTGAGCTTCAGTGTTCCCGGGCCTTTCACCAAGTTCATTTTAGTACGAGTTCAAAGCCCGCGGCATCAAGAAGAGACCGGTTGACATCACGGTGTCGGTGGACGGCGTCAAGGTCGTATTGCAGAGGAAAAAGGTAATTCTATTTATTTTCAATACCTACTGCAAAACTAAAATAGCTCTGAAAAGAGCATGGATGTATATTCACCACCGCGCTGATCTTTGGCGCTGAACACCTCCTTTCTAAGCTTTTCCTGGCCGTTTCACGGGTATTTTCGCGCCAGTGGCCCCAGTCTGATGCACGGCTGGGCGTCCCGCATATTCGATTAGATATGCGCGAATCAGGGTGGCTGGAATCAGATTTACCCTGGGAGAAACTAGGAATGCTGCCTGGGGGCCCTTCACACGCCCTTCTCGTTCCTTTGCCTTTGCATACTAAAAACTAGAGCCAAGGGACCATCCTAATAAATCTAAAATATAGGCTAGAAAAACCTACATAGCCAACTCAAACAAAATCAAAAATTTTTCAGAAAAACAAAGAAACATGGGACGAATCAAAGTTGTTAATAATGTTTCATCCGATTTATAGGTATGTGGTTTTTCGGTATTTGAGGTTAATGTTTCTAGGATATTTTTTGTCTCACACGACTCCCAGGATCTCCAAATTTTCTCATATATTGCCAGGGACGGCGCTTCGAACACTTTCAAGTGCAATGTATTTAAGTGCTCGAAAAAGGTGAGTGAGCAGGAGTTTGAATAGTTTGGAAAAATGAAAAATATATTGAATTTGATTTGCTTAAAGATTTATTTGATTACCCTAAAAATAAGCCCGAGCTGAGCAGAGGATTAGTATCAGGCTGGACCGAAAGTCTTTACAATCCATCTTCAAGCCGGTTTTGTATAAACATTTACCACCCGGCCGCCGGAATTTTTGCACCGATAGTTCAGTCTAAGATGCTACTATAGCACATAAAAATATTTAATCAATCTAGCCTGTATTTATTTTTCTATGATCGGTTCTCCTTGAGACACTGGTTGACCCGAGGCGGCGACATCCGCGAGCCCTCTGCCCTTTCAGCCTTATGAAAATTTCTAAAGTCAAAACCCTGCCAGAATAACTGGCGGTTTATAACGCCATTATCATACCTTTCTAGCTATGGTGCCTCATTCACCAAACAACTGTAGAGCCCGTCGTTATTGTCTATAGTATGGAACAAAATCCGGATTCGGGATGAGGCTGATGAAAAGGGGCTTAACGATCCAATTACGACAGCGAATCGAAAAGCGCTCCACGTATTTTGGAAAACATTTAGTTGGGAACACCGTGTAAACAATATTTATCAAACCGCCCTGCCTTCACGGGAAAAATTTTGCAACATATTGTAACGTCGAGTAACCGACGCGGGATCTGGCATCGTCATTAAATTTTGCTTTTTATTCTTTAGTCCTTGCCGATCAAATTTTTTCATCATGGCACGGCAATTACGCAGCAACAGTAAATAAGGTACTGAAATTATAATTGCCCCAAACCCATTTGTTCACTCTGAGAATACCGAAACAAAATTGTGTTGGAAAATCAGGGTTGATCTCTTCTGCAGCTCGGTATAAAAGATTTGTCCCTAGGCAATCTACGCGTTTGAAACAGTGATAACTAAGCTACATATCGATAAAAACTCTTAAAAAAATTAGCCACCAAATTCGGAGAAAACGGCCGACGAAGGGATTTGTCATTTTGGGGCCCGAAATCCCAATTTGACATCTTTCTAAATCGATCAGGAAAAATGTATGAGACCACCTATTTAAATTATGTTCGATACATTGTATAGTATTACTGCTGTTTTATTTGCGATTAATTATTCACGTAACTGTGGCCTCACTGACGGACAAAATTTTTACGAAACCTAAAATGAGGGAAAATTACGACGCGCGGCGTATTTGCCTCATAACTTCAAAAGTAGCAAAGGTTGGAAGTTCAAATCGGGCGTGCAGGAAGTTCATACTTTACCCTCGGTCATGCTAAAATATGGAAAAGATAGGATGGCTGTTTCCATAAATTTTTTGCGTCCGAAAAATTGTAATTACTTTCGGTCCAACCTGATAGAATGATAAGAGTTAAAGGATTGTAGAGAAAACAGCTAAAATGTTGTTATTTTTATCGTTGTCGCCGAAGACTAGATCGGAAAAGTAAAAAAAGCAAAAATATTAGACGTTATTTTTGGTAGCACACTCATTTCTTGGATAGAAGCTCGTGCTCCGGATTTCAGTTGTTAGCCCTACCGGAAAGGGCCGAGCAACCTTCAAATGCAATCCGGCGATAATTTTGTTCTGTACTGATATTGGATATCTCTAAAGTATCCGAACTTAAACTCGCAACTCGTTCTCGCTAGGTTAGCCAACTACCGTTAGCCCTACCGCGAAGAGAGGAACAGCGACCTCCCGCAAACTAAACATACTTGCTTTCCTGTTACCCATATTTTTAAAATATCACAACTTAAAAACTCCATTTTTTCCTCCTTACCCCTGTCCATTTCCTCCCAATTATCCCCCATCCCATGCCCTCGATCCAAGTTCAGCGGCTGTGACTTGGGATAGGGCTGGTTGGTGGTGTGTGTTGGGGTGGTTGCTGGAAGGCGGTGGGTCCTCCCGCAATCTGCCAGTCTCAGTCATATAGCCTCAGAGAGAGCGGAAGATCTCAAAAAAGAAAGACCCCCTCCGACGGGCAGGGTTGAGCAGGAGGTGGAAGTGCTGGTTGAGGGGGGCCAGGTGCCTTCTTCCTGCCTCCTTTCCCTTTTCGATAGACACAGTGAGCCCCAGGGCTTTGTTAGCTGAGTGCCATTCACCATTCTCTCACTCGGATCGAGGAAGGAGGGGAGGGAGGGTTTAGAGGGGAGGAGACTCGCGTTATTTTAAACGGGGGAGGCCCTGGTTGGGGAGGAGGCCCTTCTCGCCGGGAGAGGAGGACGACAGCTGCGCGTGCATGCGTCTCAGCTTGATCCCCTCACTCCGACCGGGCACCCGAGTCCGAGCCGCCATCGCCGCGGGCCCATCGATCGATACCTACTCGGTGCTGCTGCCAATATTTATTAATTCACATTTTGTCTGGACGGTCAGCTGACGGCGGGAAGTGGCCTGGTCGGGGCGGTTGATCAAAGCCGTCATCAGGGTTGTTGTTAGGCTTTTATATTGCTCCCTATCTGTTGGATCGAGTTCGAAATTGAGCCTGAACTCCACCGGGTTGTGTTCATTCGGACGGCAAATTCTTCAAGAAATAGCTGTACTTGCACCCTACCTACCTCGAACTAGAATAACGCATTCAACTAGTTCGCTCTGAAAATCATTCGGAACTGTTCTCGGTCTCCAAAACCTCAAACCATTCCGCCTCACTTGCACATGGGTTGACGAGCCATGATCCGTCTGGAGCCGGATGAGGATGAGACCGAGGTGCCTCCGGAGCACCGATTCTACTATCTTCGCCTTATGGCTAAGCCCGGGCGCACGGCGCCTGAGCCGATTCGAACTAAATTCGTGCGATGGAGCGAGCCGGAAGCGGGTGTTAAAGGACCGTCGGGATCTGATGATCCGACACTTGAGGTGGTCTTTTAATTATCTATGTATTGGTTAACGGTTTGGATTATGATGAATTATCGCCACGCGTAGACCTGGATTCAGGCGATTCGGTAGTAAAGTACAGTACAGTTCAGTTAGTCTTGCCAGTTTGTAATTATAAGCTTTACTGTTGCTTACGTTCAATAGTATCTTTTGCAATTCGGGCCATCTTAGGTAATGCATTTCGAATCATTCAAATAATCAAACCACAACGTCGGGCAGCAATCTTCTGATTAGATGCATTATTGCCGATGAGGCTCAAGGTTTAATCAGGCTTTGGATAAAGTTCCAATCAGCAGCTTGATTGTTTAATTTTTTTCTTCTATACTTCGCTATGAAAGTTGTCATGATTGAAGAACTGAGAATTTATTTTCCAAGTTCCATTATCCGATTATTAATTATACAGAACGTAACGATTTGGAATAGAAGGGTTAGATGGAACGTGCGACGACTATCATGCGCCTTGGCTCATAAGCCTTGATTTAGCTCCCGGGCTTCGAGCCCTTTTATAATTTTGACCGGCTGTTTAGAAATTTTTAGTTTTTTGACCCGCGCGAAAAATATTTTCCACTCCTCTACTGTATAAACAATTGATATGTGCGTTACATACGGGGGGTGGAGTTCAGAGTAGCAGTGTGTATCTGTGCCCTTGCCTGGCCCATTTCCCATCCCAGTCATAAATGCGACGACTCAGACGCCCCTTTGCTTTTGCTTTCGCCGGGCCCTAACAAGTTGTTGGGCAGCATTTGGGGAGGGGTGAAGGAGGTGGAAGAGGAGGTGGAGGATGAGAGTTTTGGAAGGAGGGGGACCTCCCCTCTTTCCCCCCGGTGACGCAAACGACCATCGTTTCGGGGCTCTCTTTACCGCGTCTGCTGTAAGGCCGGTGCTCCACGCTTCTCCCCGATTGAAAACACATTGCAAAATGTTTCTCGCCCTTGCTCCCTGGGGCGTTGACTAGAGGCTTGGGGTGTAAGTCGTTTTGGGGTTGTGCTGTCCGGAAATAGCCAAGTGGGCGAAAATTGGTGAATTATCGTGCAGGTATAGGCAAAGTATGAATTAAGGTTACGCTGGATTGGTGATGAAATCAAATCTCCAAAACCGGCATTGCAAGCTGATTAAGACACAAAGTCGAAATTGAAGAAAAAAAGGGTTCATCCCCATAACGATTTTTCCCTTTATACGCTACATTCTAATTAGCTTGTGATTAAATTTTTATGCTTTAATTTTTCTGGTTTTGTGATTAGATTTAACTTTAAAACTCAATACGCTTATCAAAATCTGATAGACAAGCATTTACAGAAGTAGAATTTTAGAGCCAAGCGATGCGGGTGGTGCGGACGATCGGCCAAGCTTTTGAAGTTTGCCATAAGAATGCACAAGATCAGCTGGCCGAACGTCACGAGGATGATCCGACCAAGCGTAAGTTTTATAGACGATTGGACTGTTTTTAGAGTTTTGAAAATTTAAAGGGGCCGGGAATTCAAAATAAGTTCAAACTGGTTGGCAGCTTATGATCCTTTCCTAGAGGTTTTCCTGACTTTTTTTCATCCTTGTTCAATTTACGTCGTCTTTTCTAGCATCTTAGCCTCTAGGCTTAACCTCAATTTTTCACTCCTTATCACCTAAATCAATCGGTGTTGACGCTGTGGCTGTGAGCCTGGACCCAGGACGCCTGCTCGTATTTTACCTGGCACCACCCGATGTTGGCTTCCCACCCCGTTTTTCGCCACTTTGATGAACTAATGACTCGTTGCAGACGGTATCTAGGATAAGGTTGACCGCTATCAATCACTGTAATGGATTGTCGGTGAACGACAAGTCCTAAAGTCGCCTCGAGTCTGGCTTGGCCCTCCCTTCCTCCCTCTCCACCTCAGTTCTTCCTCATCCCCCTACCCTTATCCCCATCGGCATCAATTTCCATCGCATCTCATTTCTCGTCATAGGGCATCTCCCTTCCCCTTTCTGAAAGCAGTTGTCCCGCTTGAGGGCCGGGTCCGCTTGTAATTTGAGCCGCCGAGCAAGACGATTTACAAAAAACACAACATGGTCGTTGTGAGAAAAAAATGGGGATTTTTGACTGGGTAGTGGGGTGCTTTCCAAGAGAAAAGTTCGAGTTCAAAGATTGGATAGAAAAGCTCGAGGTTGTGCTGAGGTTTCAAGAGCATAAGAAGGGTTTGGAGAGAGGTATCGAACGTAGACGTCTTACAACAACTTCTTTGTGGGTAATATTAAAGTTTGATGATGTAATATAGTTCATTTGATAGAGCTTGAAGTTCTAAACATGTGGCATCTTTCAAATGAAAAAAAGCTTGACAAAGTATCTATTTTTTAAGCGGACGCAAAACAATTAGTAACATCGGTCCTTTCAGCCTATACTCTTAGGAAGTGCGTAATCATAACATCATTTTTTGAAAACTGTATATTGTTCAAAATTGCTATATCGAATGAGCTATGTCACATTGCTGAAACCAAAATAAACGAGAATATACTAGAAAAAAAACCAAAGCTAATTCCAGGTTCTTTGATCTCTGAGGAAGAAGTCGCTACCGGTCTCGACGCCATCGGCGAAGAAAAGACCGAAGCCGACAACTCTGACGACGATGAGAACCCTCTCAAGAAAATCATGGAAGATCGTGAATCCGAGAGCCCGATGGAACCCCCAATCGGTCCACTCTACGGCAAACGGATTAGCATGGTGAGCCAGTGGTTCCTTTCCACCGGGGGGCAGAGGGGAAAAAAGTGTGCCCGTCGAGATTGATATCCTGTGTCTGGAAGCGCAGCAACGACACAAAAAACAATGACCACCTGCCACTGGCATCAGCCAACAATATTAGATATTGGTCGCTCGTTCCCGTTCATTGTTCCGAACATGTTTTCTAACAATTTTGCTAGAAGGTCGGGTCGAAAAGGAAAAGGGGTAGGTATTGGGAATCTCGGGTTTTTTTAAATAATTTTTGAAATACTAGTTCGGTATTTTCTGACATAAGCTAGGGCCTGTATTTTTCAACCAGGCCAAAAGAGAGCGGATTTTCTCAGACGGGAAACTGGATTGTTTGGGTCGAGGCAAATGCCGAAAGTTTGTGGTGAAATTGAACAATTTTGACCACTTTCTTGGGTTTTTTTGATCCTTTTTTTGGGTCATAATGGCTTGATACTCGTTTTCCTCTTTATAAAAATTTCTATTTAGTATCATTCGCGCAAAACCTCTGATGCCTCAAGTTCTGCGGGTACAGCCATCGACATGACGCTACTACCGGGCCCATCCAACCAACCACAACCGTGTTTGAGCCCTGTAGAAGAGACCAGCGACAGTCATCCACTTCCGAACCCTCTTCAAGTCCCCCAATCGTGAGCTTCACGTTTTATGCTAAATCAGAGCATTTTCAGTTCCGTTTCGAACCCGCTTCGTCCACCCCACAATCCCCAACCATCGACTAGTCAAATCCCGCCCCCACCCCAGGGATATCCACCTATGGCATATCCCTCTATGTATCCAGGTAAATAAGAAACGGATCGCTTAAAAGAATTTTAACTTAGGTGGTTCAGCAACACTTCCCCATTCGAGTTCAATGCCCGGCCAATGGCCACCTATGAATCAATACCCATCCGTTCCGCAAGAGCTTCAAAATCCGAATCCGGGAAATGTACCGTTTTATCCGGTACGTAATAAGTTGCAGTACAACTTACACCTTCCCAACAATTACCTAGCTATGAATCAAAATGATGTTTTAGATGTCTTATGTGCCGCCTTCATCCTCAATGCCATTCGGCCTATCATCCCCCGTCATGGTATCCCCCTACGCGACACTCCAACTCCCACAGATGGCGGTAGATCCTAATAATCCTGACCAGGCCGCTCAATGGAGCCGTAGCCTTGACCAAGTAATACCAAAATGCCCTAGAACGAACTGTAACTTTAGTATAATCAGCAGCTCATCCGATCCCAGCTCGACCAGGCCCAGCAAACAGCACAAGTGGCTGGCTGCCAAGTGCAGCTTCTGCGCGATCAGCTGACTTCGGAGACGACCGCTAGGCTTGAGGCACAGGTGGGTTGTTTTGGTCTTTTGAGAAATTTAAATTTAGTCGCGAACTCATCAACTCCTAAATGCCAATCGTGAACTGCTCGAACAAGTCCAAACCCTGGTGCAACGACTCCAACATCTTGAGACAAAGATCACCACCGAGATCCAACAAAATACGGCCGCTCCGGCTAGTGGCTCTTCTACGCTACCTCGGACTTCTGCTCCGCCGATTGGGCAATACAGCTCCGGAGCTTTTGAAGCTCGCGTTCCATCTGGCCAAGCAGTTCATCCAGCTTTCAAGGCAAAAATATAGCTAATCTTCATAGACACCACCAATTTAGAATATCACGACCGAAGCACGATCTGGATCTTTACCTCCACAAAAATTGGACCAAAAACCCAGACGGCAACCTGTCGAAGATTTTGGCGAGCTTCGTGGTGCGATCGAAAGCACGAATGATGATACCACCGACTATTCAAGCAGTGACTACGAAAAGGTCAGTCCGAAAATATAACTCCCTTCTACTCTTCAATTTTAGGTCACAGCCCAAAAAACTGGTCCCTTTATGAACGTCTTAATGACGAATCCAATGGCTGCATACCCACAACATCTGGTGATGACGCAGGCGGGAACACAATCTGCACTCCGATCCTTGATGGATAGGGTACGGCTATTCTTAAGCAGCATAGTATCTATTTTTAATTTCTTAAAGGTGGTAGATGATGGCCAGATGCCAGGCCCTTCTTCCACTCCACCAAAGAAGAAGGCCGCTACTGGCGTGTTTGGAAATAAGGAATTCTCACGAATGAGTTTTAATGCAAAGCTTAGGGAGCGTAGAGAGGTATAGATTTTTAATGGTGCTAAAAATGATTATTAGAATCCGGATGAGACGTTAGAAGAGGAAGAAGATAAGGAAAGATCACCCGAAAGGAAAGAACGTGACAGACCGATAGAGCGAAAGAAGGTTTGGCCTTTTTTTCTTAATTTAGTCATACTTAAATCAAAATTTAGGACAAGGTCACCGTTGATTCTCTATTCAAGAATTCACCTGAAGAAAGCCCAAATCGAGAATTGACAAGAAGAGATACGACGGCCTCAGGTAAAGGATACAACAATTTTCATACCTTGATTTTCAGGTACCGGACTACCTTCACACAAGATCGAACAAATATTGGCAAGCGATAACCTCGTGACTGCCATGTATCCACCCATCCGAAAACCCGTAACGGCAATCAATGTGGCTAGGGTAGGTCCCAAAAGTATAATTCAAATTTCGGATTTAGCCCAAATTCGAGGTTGTGAAGAAGAAGCAATTGAGGGCACTATCGATGGACATGCCCGAAGGAGAGGCCCTCGAGCTCAGTAACCGGCTCGAGCCAAAGATCTCTGGGCCTGATCAGGGGAATTCGTACCTCGGAAACAGAAGCTCTCCACCGACAAGAAAGAAGAACCTTGAATTCAATTATACACCCGAGGATCGATTCAAGTGGGTTTCACATAAAAATAATATAGAATTATTTTTTTCCAGCCGTAATATACTTGCCGCTCCCTCATCCGAATCCCAAAAACCATATCCATCAATGCCAAACAGAAATCTAAACGCTAAAATGCCAAACGGACAACCTCCCCATTTCTAACGAATATTCAAAAACCTCCTGAATTTTCTTTCCCGTCACGCTTCCATGAATCGGTGCCGCCCTTTCATACATTCCATTTTATTTCTAAATATTTTTACGTTTGATTTAATTCTTGTTGCCCCCCATCCAAGACTCCTTCCGATGTCATCGAAAATTCTAATCAATCCGTTGTGATACCCTGCCAGTTATCGTCTTTGGCTGTTTTCGTTAGGCTATGGGAATTGAAATAAAGAGATTTATGTGAGACATGAAAGTGATGACCGGGAAATGTATTGCTATTGGGCTAAAACCAGAAAAAAAGATAGAAAATACAAATTAATATTATACAGCGAGTGGGGGTGGGGCTTGTGATGGTTGGCCAGTATTCTCGACAAGTGAGCCATTCTTGGAGGATTCAAGGCTCTTCCCACTTCCATTATCTATAAGTATACAGTATCTAAATTTGACACTTACGGACACTTACCTTCAATAAATAAACTATTATCAATCATATGTGTAACTTCATTAAAAATTTTATCTTCTTCCAAGTCTCCATCAACCTAAAGAGCAAGTTGGTACTTTTAAAAGTTCCGTACCACTCGTAGTTTGTTTTTATCATCAAAATATTTTAACATTGGCAAGCAATTAGCCTTGAATAATTCTAGACGATGTTGGAAGACGTTCGGAGCATCATCTGAAGACATACTGATTTTTCTGGTGTTTTTCAAGTTACCAGCCCTCTCATTCTTATCCTGCAATCCGATTTCATAGCGCTTCTTTACCGTATCCGCACAGAACTGTTCTGTGCAATCAATAAGTATCGCCAAATCAATGCGCTCAAGCTAAATTTTTTCGGTTGTTGAACTTCAAGTTTCTATTGCAAACCTGCTGCTCAAAATCTTGAGCTTGATGTGTGTTTCTTGGGTAGCCTTCAATGACATAGCCCCAACTTGTGGCGCCAACGTCGTGAATGGCTTGATAGAGTACTTCACGGCATAGTTTCTAAAAACCCCCCTATACTATGAAACTGAAAGCCTACCATTGGTACCGCTTCACCTTGATCGATCTTTTTCCCAATGCGCTCCCACAATTCATCACCTCGGGTTTCTCGTACCTTAAAAAGATATAAACAATGACGTTACTTTTGAAAACAGTACCTTTCTCCTTAATAAATCTCCCATACTAAACATTACAAATCCATCATATTTTTTGGCTATCCTTTGAGCGATTGCGGATTTGTTAGAACCGGGTGCTCCTGAATTTTAGTAATTAGTTATACTCAAGCGAATACTAACCAATTATAAGAAGTACAGGCGCATTATTTGGAAGACCTTTAGGAATGGGTTTGGCGGTGGGGGCTAAATCAAAGCTACTTCGGATAGGATTTTGACTTACGTGGCTTCTCTCCAGTCTTTGGTGGCTCGTGCACAACAGCCACTGTGGCTACAGCTGCTGTTGGGGCTGCGGCGGGCGCTAAAAAACTAGATAATCACCTTTAGATAAGATTCTCGACCTGGTTCTGCTGCCGTTTCAGGTACACCATTTGATTGAGGGGTTTCTGAAACGAAAGGTATTATTTTGGAATGTTTGCTTACTTGGTTTCGGGGTTTCTTTTGAACTTCTTGCTGTGCTCTTCTTTGAGGAGGCGCTTCCTGAATTGGGGAAAGTTCGGGGCTTAATAATTCTGCTACCTGAACGGCTTCCATTTCTGGAGGTTGGTCGACTTGGTGGTTTATCTTCTTGATGTCCATGGGAGGTTGATGGTTTGCTAGCTGGCTTGGAGCCTTAACACATGCATTGAATTGACTAAATTTATGAAATTAGATTTAGTGTATCTTCTAGACTTAATATTTTACCAGGGGCCGATGGTGGTTTCGAACTTGGTGTTTTCACTCCATTTTCAACAATAGCAGCGGCGGCTGCTGCGCCAGTTGCTGTCCGTGGAGGCTAAAAATGCAACTCTCTATCGAATTTTTTAACAGCTACCGAGATCGGATCCCCTCTTGCTACAGCTTCAACCGGCGGATGTGAATTATATACAGGAATCCCGGTCTCCATCGCTTGCCACACCAACTTCTTCATTCTCTCAAATATCGTCTGATCATCTTTCTCACCGGGGACCTAAAACATTCTCCAATGCTTCATCAGGGCTCAAACCAAGTGCAAAAGCTTTTGATCATCAAAATATTTCGCTGAAGGCAGCGTCTTCTGCTTGAATTCTTTGATGCGCTGATCAATTACATCCATCGAAATCCCCCTCCTTTCCATATGCTCACGCAACGTCCGCTCATCGTAATCGATAATAATTGCCATATTCACGGCTTTGACCTGGAGTTAAAGGATTAGTCGGTTAGCCTACAGCTCACCTGTCTCTCAAAATCCTCCACTTGCCGGGCTTCACGCGGGAAGCCTTCCAGGAAGTATGCTGACGCCTGAAATCTTTTTTAACCAAAATAATGACACCCACGTTTGGATGTCGGCCCATCTCGGCTTTGACAAGTGCCAAAGCAAGATGATTGGGGATTAGTTCGCCTGAATACGTTAATGGGTCTGTAGATGTGGGGTTACCTCGCATGTACTTATCGTTGGCATCTTTCCACTCTGTGAAGCGGTCTTTATATTTTGCCAAAGCGTTTCGAATAATGTCGGGCATGCAAATGTGGATTAGACCCTGAGCGGTATAGTCTTAACATGATATATTTTGACTTGCTTGGTCTTGCAGGGAATTATAAACGCGGGCAGCATGTCGAGTTTTTCCGCCACCTGGACCACCTGAAAAAGTGGAAGGTAGAAGAAGGTTGAAGTATTCGGCGGTTAATTATTGGTAATGGTTATTTATAATTATAAATATTTTCCAAAAGACACCTACCCATGAATAAAATAATGGGAACATCCGGAATTCGAGCAACATCAGCTGCCTTCATAACTGAAGGTACCCTCTGCACACCCATATCTTCTGCCCGGGATCCAGCCGACCGTGGTGGTGATTTTGGATCCTAAATGCCATAACTTAGCCGAATTTCTTTGAGTAATATAAGTCCTAATAAGCAGCTACGTGGCTTCGCCCAACGCCCATGAAGAAGATAAATTCCTCAGGCACCACAATAATGCCATGAATTAATTCCACGCCTACCCGTGCTATCTCGGCAGCCACCGATGTCTCGGGCTCCTTTTCGGCCGGCTTCTCCTTGGGTTTGATCTTCTTTTTCTTGACGCTAAAATAGATTTGAAGACTATTTTATGAAAGCGGGACTTACGTTTTATTTTCCTTGTTGTCGTCGACCTTCACCGGTTGGTGGCTGGCCTCTAGACATAAATAAATTAGCAAAAAATAGTAGTAATAAAGTTGCGAGAACCGGGCCCCGGTTGGTTGATGATTTTAGGGCAATGTGGATCTAGTTTAAGCGTCGAATAGGAGTCGACTGGGAACCGCGTGAAAAGTTGTATAGAATGCTTGTGCCGTGAGGGTGGTCAAACCGCAATAATTGTTGGGAGCTCCCCCTCCCTTGAATGCTAGGGGCCCAAGGAGCAGTGGAGCGGGAAAAACGACTAGAACGCTCCAACACCCACCCCCTGGGATCCGGGCTCTATTCGGGTATGGCTAAATAAGGATATCAGATTTATTACTGCTTTTTTTTAGTGTGTAAGGATTGAAGGAATGGTCAAAATGCTCCAGAAATATGTACATTTGATGGCGAAACTGGACATAAGTTAATAAAACTTACTTCTTATAGTTTTCATAGCAAAGAATGGAATGGAATACACAAAGCCAAAATATAGTTATACTTTTAAGACCCGATTTTGGGATACAGCATCAAAACAAAAGCACTACGCCTGCACCCCACGAGTGGGCGGCCACTATTCTCGTAGACGCCCGGGCTATAATGGCCGCCCTCAACGCCCAAGAATGGATATATTGCATTCATCGCTTTTTAAGAAAATCTAGAGATTCTGAAACCCTCCAAACATTAAGTACTCATAGGATAGCGGGGGGGGGGGGGATAAAATAACGGGGAGGCACTCATTATTATGAAATTTGCAATTACTGTGGGATTTTGCGAGTGCCTTTCGATAGGGCGTCAAAAAATATACTAAGAGATTGTGGGAGAAAGCATCAAAGCAAAAGCACTATGCCTATACCCCACGAGTGGGCGGCCACTATTCTCGTAGAATGTAATGGAAATTTTTTATTGAATAAACAACAATTGAGGAAAATCTATGGGAAGCACATAGGATAACAGGGGGGGAAGTGAAATTTGCGAAATTTTCGAAATTTTCGGTATTTTGAAATAACGTCATTCGATAAAGCGTCAAAAACTGCTTTAGGAAAATTAATTTCAGCCCTAAATAATGTAAAGGAAATTTTTTATCGAATAAACAAAAATTTATCAAAATCCATGGGCACCACATAGGATAACGGGGCTGGGGGGAAAGCCACATTTTTGCGTTTTTCGATATTTTGAAGTGGCCAAACAATGGAACGTGAAAAATTATACTACGAGATTTTTTACAACGCGACAAAGTATATCATAAAAGTTGTATAACCTAAAAACTATTTTTGAAAACTATGGGCAGCACATAGGAGGGGCGGGAACAAATTTTCGGCTGTTTGAATATCTTCGATATTTTGAAACTGCCATTCGACAGAGGGCCGAAAAATATACTAAGAGCTTATTTTACAGCCCGAAAAAGCATATTTAAAAATACTTTTATCATAAAAAAAAGTTTGCCCCCCAAGGGCGTAGCCAGAAAAAAATTTCGGGGGGCCCACAAAAAATTTTTCCCAAAAACTCAAAACCTTAACGAGAAAACAGCGCCGCAGACATGAAAAAAAGATTACATATCTTTCCGCTACGTCCCTGGTACCCAGGGCCGTAGCGATCCCCGATTTTTGGGGGGGGGCAACTCCAAAAAAAATTTTTGGCAACGTATCAAAACTATCGAAAACAGCGCCGCAGGCGAAAAATTTTGGAAAACTTAGGGTTATGACAGTAAAAACAGTCTTAAAAACAACTATAAAAAGCGCCGCAGGCAAAAAAATTTTCGCGAAAAAAAATCATAAGGGTCCCCCCTTATGAATTTTTCGGCCTTCGGCCGATTTTGGGGGGGGGGGGGCAACTTGCCCCAGTTGCCCCCCCTTCCTACGGGCCTGCTGGTACCCCTTCCCGTTATTTTATTCCCCCACCCCGCTATCCTATGTGTACCAAACATTGGCTAAATTACACGCATAATTTATAATTAGCGCCAAAATTAATGCGAGGCCGACAATTGCTCCAACCCAAAACGCACCTGCATCTTTGCTGATGAATGAGTCCCACGCTACACCGGCGTTTGGATTTCCGCGGATCTAAAAAAAACTTAAAAAGTAGCTTAGACCTCCAAACCTTGGCTAGCGCTTCTGTAAGAAATTCCACTGGGTCTGAGGGTCGATTGTAGATTAATCCAGTCATCAGGCCCTATGTCAAACTGATTAAAGTATTAATTATAAACACGAACCTCAAAAAGCTGTGGTATGCCATGCTCTTGAAGATAAGCCTTGGCTTCAGCGCCCATCGTAGATCGGAAATTTTAGGAATGTAGCCGCCGGTGGGGTGGTAGACTTGCCGGGGCCCACCTCGCGGGTTTTCGGGCTTAATAAAGTCGGGTTAATGTGAGAGATTAGGGTCTCTAGGGGCAACCGGGCCCCCAGGGTCGGCTTGTCCCAATAAAATAGCAGGGTGTGCGTTCTTTTCCAATTGCCAATTCTGGCACCACCCGGAGAGTCAAAAGGTGGCAATTAGCATGGGGGTGTATCGGGGTTTATAATGTGAGGCTGGGGTTATTACGCAGAAAAGTACAGGAATAGGATGCGACCAAAAATTGGTTGGGGGGCAGCGCTGTAGGAAAAAAAACGAGGTTTTGTGATTTGTTGCTATAGTCATTACGCAGAAAAGTATATCAGCGGATCAAAATTTAGTAGGTGCAAGATGCTGTAATCTTTTTGTGGGCTAGGTTCTGTACATTTTTGATCAGTGAACGGTGAACATTTTGTTCTAATCATATTGTATTTTTATAGAGTTCTATTCTGCAGGGCATGCTACATTTAACAAGTTAGCAAAGGCAATTAAGGCTAAATTTCTGTATCGACATTTTTTCTTAAAACCTTTACATTTGCAAAAAACTAATTCACTTTACTTTTGGATGATTACTAAAAGCAAAGCATAGCGTTTGCCGCTTTATACATAATTTAGTAGCCCAACAAAAAAAAATACTAGATCAAAGTTTCTTGTGGAATATGGATAGGATTGCCTTTATGAAATCAACAGTACAACCTTAAATCCGTAATCTACAATTTTAACCACACCTGGCAGACAACTACGAGGAGCAAATGAGCCCAGTAATCCCCACAACGGCGCACCTTAGAATCTATGGCTTCAAACACCCCAGCCCATCCCAATCCAGTAGGAAATAGAAGATCCCCCTGGTTCTCCTCCCCCTCTTTACTCCCCGAATCCCAAATCGGTAACCGAGGTAACAATTTCTGTCCTCCTGGATGCCTTTCGGGCCATTCCTGAGGGGGCCTTGTGAGAAGGCCCTGGCACGACACCAACGCGCTAACTTCCGCACTTCCGCCATTCCTCCCTCCCCACACTAAGGCTTCATCGACGCGCTGCCAATACCTCGTTGACCCCTGGAAAATCGGAGGCTCTAGTTTGGTGCCCAGAAAGGGCAGAGTTGTACGAGAGGAAATTGGGTGAAAAAGTTCATCCGGATATTTTAGCCGTTGGAAGAGGTTGACGACTAATTTCCGGATCTCGTTCAAACACATGCTTTAGATCGCTTACCTATTTACGTATAGGTAAGCGATCTAAAGCATGGGTTTGCCTGGTGACTAGATCCAATAAATGCGACATAAAGAGAAAAGTGAATAAAAATAAAAATTCGGGTCGTCGACGGCACCGGGAATTGCTACTGCAACAGTTTTTTCACTAATATAGGTCGAATCCCGTGACAAACACGAATGCGCATACCTGATTCGTCTGGGACCTGGATCTCCAACATCTGTGCTACCAAGCTTCCATCAATTTTCCGTGTTTCAGATCCTGAATTGAGCTAGTAGAAATCAGATCAGGCATAAATAATACAAAAATTATTTTTTAATCATACTTAGATATAATTACATCACGCTACAACGTGGAGCTTCCCCCTGGTCAGATCCTCGGTGGGACCATGCGCTCGATTTTCGAGTTTGTGACGCTGGGGCAGGACTTATGCCAAATTATGCCGTCAAGATCACCGAACCGGCACCGTCACTTGGTCTTTCTCTTTGAAGAAATCGGAAGGGTGCAGATATCGTTCCCGGGGAAGCCCGTCACAAAATCCAGAACTCGTGATAAAAGGCTTGTGCTTGAAGGGGTCAGGGTGTGAGCAGCTGCATCAGCCGAAATGCGAAGTGTTTGTCTGCTTTTGGCAATTGCCTCCGTTGCGCTTGGATGTCGCTATGGCACTGTTTCGATTCCGGAATGGCCCGGACAATGTTGGATCTTCCAGCATCAGCGTGAGTTGCATTTTGGACTTCTGCTTGGTGGCGGAATCGGAATGATTTTTACACCATTCGGAAGCTCTTAAAAAAGCGAGAAAGCAGCCGTGCCGTGTTTCCAAACTTTTAGTTCTAGCTTGAATTCAACTTTTTCTTAAAATAAAACCATTGTAATACCTTAGGATCATCAATTAACATCCAGATATCGCTTAGATATGCAGTGATCAGGCGCGAACAATCCTAAATTTAGCATAACAAAAATCAATTTTTTGGCTTTGTAAAGGGCTTTGGTTGGATACTTGCATCGTCAAAATTGCACTTCTTTATGCTGCTCGAAGGTGCGCTTAACGCAGCCTGTTTTGTCATAAATGTTAAATTTAGTGTTTTCTCAAGCTTGAAAAGGCCTCCGCACAATTGAAACATTTTTTTCAGCCGAATTCCGTGACGGACAGTACCTGAAATGCATGAGCGAGCCTGGGAGCATGATCTCCATCCACAACGCCCAACAAAACGCGATCCTTCTCAAATACGCCAAGCAGGGTACAGGGTCGTTAGTTGGTGTGTACTTTTTATTTAGCTTTCCCGGATGGTAAGATCTATCTCGGGCTCGAGAACGTGCATGCCGGACGTGACCTTGGCTGGATCTGGCCTGACGGTACCCCGACTGATTACATCAACTGGGCTCAAGGTATTGGTGGTTTCGATTATTCAAAGCTGGTGTATACCTTCTTATTAGCAAACCTTCTTTTTTCGCATACAGTTTATGCCTTTTTCAATCTCGGGGAAGCTTTTGACTGACCGAAATCTTGATATTTTGATGAAATTTTATCGGAAAATGGTTAGATTGTGAACAATCAAGATTTTTTTGCTTGTTAAGTGGTTTGAAAGGACCAAAAATACCGTTACAAAATAAAGCAAGAACTTATCAGCATCCCTATAATTTTAAACAATTTTCCAGGTTCCCCGGCACTCGGCACTGCCTGCGCCGTTCTCAACCCCGATGGTACTTGGTCCTCCAACGCCTGCGACCAGAAACTGCCCACCATCTGCCAGGCCCGTTAAACGTATCCGCCCAATAAAGCACGCAGCAACAATTTATTCTCACTGTATGAAATAATTTAGCGCAGAGGATGGCTTGGATAGGTTCGGTCTCATGTGGGGTACAGAGTTGATTTCTGAAAAAAAGGAATTCCGCGATCACAACATGGCTGAGGATGGGCATGTAGATAGATGAAATGGGTCTCTGATGGCTATCATTGGCACTAGATTGGAATTTGTAGGGTTGTAAGGGTAGGGGAAATTGGTGTTGTGACACCATGGGAATAGGGTCAGGCATATACACGTAAACAGAAGCGTGACGGATTTTTGTGGGCGGTAGATGTTCATGTTTCTTGGTTTGTTTTTTACTGCATAGGTGAAGTGGGATGCTCGCCGGAAGGTGTTGTTGCCTGAAAAAAATGTTATAAAGTTTATGGTCATTAAATATGTATTATTTTTAACTTACAACCTGTCTAAACTGTAATCTGTCTAAACACTGTATTTAAAAATTAAATTAACGCATTCCTACCTGCGATCCTCGAGCCTGGCCAGACAGATGATCTATCGATGTCGAGGCGGCCATTTTAGCCTATAAAAATATTTTTTTTAATCCGGAACAACTACTTACGCTAGTATAAGCCGTTCCTAATTTGCTCTCAAATGATTTGAATAGGCTGGAGTTGCGCATGTCGTTCCACTTGGTCTTCACGCTGTCAGCGGCCGCTCCAGCTACCTCGGAGGTCGTCTTGAACCTAAAAATTTACATAATTCCTGTTAGAAACTGAAAAACGCACGCATCGGTCTCCGTGACTCCCTTCAAGGTCTTGTTAATATCCTGGGTCAGCTCGGTGAGCGGACTGAGACCTGAAAAACTATTATCAAAAGGTGTTGCAGCGATTTCATACCCAATTTCCGCTTCAACTCCGAGGAGTGCTTTTGTCTGGCCAAAAGCACTTGCTTAAGGGTAGCGATTTCATCTTCGGTCTAGAAAATTTGTTAAAATATTTCATAGAATCATTACCTTTTTAAGTTCTTCTTTCAACAGCTCGCGCTCGGCATCCGATAGCGGCACCTTGTCATTACCGAACGCGGTCTCTGCCTCGGTAGCCACTAAATATCTTTGTTAGGTTTTTTAGGCAGCTCGGGGGTTTCCTATAATTTTTCGCTATTTTTAAGCTATCTACATTTTTTTGGCAGATTGCCAGTTGGGGCCTGAGCGGTGGGCTGTTGGCTGATGATTTCAGTATCATCAGAGTCCGAATCGTTCTCAAGGCGTTGGGCAAATTGGTCAACGGATTGATCGGGTTGTTCGGTATCGGCTTGGGCCTGGTCTGGCTTCACTAGGGGTTCACGCTTGGCATTTGGGCCGGTCTGCTTCTTTTTCGGGGGCATTGGCTGAAGGGAAGAGGTATGGTAATTCAAGTTGAAGGAGGAGGAAAAATGGAAGTGGATTCGGGAAATGCATTGTAAAAAGATGATGCTGAAAAATCAAGATTTTGCAGGATGAGGACAAGTTCATGCTAGGACTCTGATCAAAATCACATGCACCCGTGATTGGAGCTACAATTCGACACCCGGGCCGTAACAAATTTTCCAAATTTTGAGATTGAAAATTACGTGCTATTATGTTTTTTCGGCTGAGAAGTATAAAAAGTGCAGAATTTGTCGTTTTATCTTTAAAAATTTGGGAATTTGAATAAGAACCGAAAGCCTGATGAAAGCCACAAATCTGAGGGTGGGGTCGATTTGGAAAAACATGATCTGGTTCATGCCGACTAAAAATCTCAAAACAAGGGCTTAAAAACTTTAACTTTAGAATATAAAAGCAAGAGAAGCGCATGAAGGAAGTGGGCAAATAACACCAGTAAGGGCCGGTGAACGGCCTTGTGGAATTGACGGGCGATCGATATCGGCCACGACCGCCCAGCGGGTGACCACACTTTGACTCAGTTTTTGATGTGCCACAACCCCAATCCGCGGCGTTTTGGAAAAACTACAACGAGGGGAAAGCCTTTCCAAGCCCTAGGTGTTCCCTTCGGAAACATGAGGGGTCATTGGACGGATCAATCGACGTGGCTTTTCCCCCATCGGCCAGGGCGGGTGTTGACCCTTATTTCGGTCCATGCAAAAGCCCTGCAAAAGGAAAAACGGCGGGACGAGAAGGCCACCAAACCGCTCTCGTAAACAGCCTCTTTTTGTGGAGTTGCCCATAAAAAGTTGGCATAAAACGGGATAGTAGTGGGATTTAATTAATACCAACCTACTAGGGAGTAATTTAGGTTGTTTAGCTAATTTTTTAAAAATTATCACCTTCAATTCCGGGTGTAGCGGCCATACTTCCTGGCGACGAGTCGACCTCCTGAATCAAAACGTTTAGCCCGGCGAGTATCACAGTGGAAATGAGAAAACGGGGGGAGAAGTTATGTGTGAGGCCCTGTTTACCCAATTGCGAAAGAGAACATGACTGGTTGGGAAGGGGGAGCACTATTTGGGACGGTCAAACGTCAAAATGTGATATTGGGAAATTGGCGGTGATTCAGTGAAGTCACAGAATTCCATAGTGGAAGTGATCTCGGACGGATTTTAGGGTCCTCGCGAACTTGGTCAGATTCGTAAAATAGAAACAGGCTGTGCGGGAGGGCCCTTGGGAATTGGAGGGTGACATCGACAAAATATGCGCATAATTTTGAGATGGATGAGGGGTATTTGGGCAGAGGACAGCGAATTTAAAAGGAAATTAAAATTGGGGGAGATGAGACGGTTGTTTTGAACCCGGGGTATCATCATCTTTCGTTAAAAAATAAGGATAGAATCCAGAGGTATCGTTCTCCGTACTAGGCGAATTTATAGAGTTAGATCCCTCTTACCCGAACGCGTATCCAAAACTAATCAAACCTGTCAGGCACCCAGCCGCCCTTCTAATAGCCCCCTATACAATTTTGCATAGAACATTTGATTGGCGGTGAAGCCATGGCCAGCCGGATATGGGCCCAGAGGATCCATGTCCGTCACCCCATCCCCTCTTTCTATGGATGGACCTCCTCCTCTTCTTCTTCTTCTCCCTCTCAACCCTTGCATAGCCCCAACCAGCAGGCCGTCTATTCTCTGTTGAGGATCGATACACTTTGCCACGCAAAGTCGCCCGGAATGCTCCTCTTCCGCCAATCAAGTGGATGAGCCTGGCCCCTTTGCAGCCTGCTATGCTGTGAAGGGCGAAATGTAAACTGGCAAAATCGAAAGGAGACAGAATTAAAGATCTACAAGGTACACTCAAAAAAGTATCTCTAGCGGTCCGATGGCAATTCGGATTTAGTTGTTACATCATTTGCAAGCTTTTGAAAATCCGAAAAAGCACATCTGAGTAGCTTCCTCGAATTATCTAGAACTTCCTAATTGGAAAGTTGTCTTGAAAAACGCGCTAATTGCTTCGAATGACAAGCTGGTAAAGATAAACCGACCCTTTGACGTTATATTGATTTAACAAGACAGTTACTTCGAATCTTAATTCACCCGGCCGTAACGGCAAAGCTAAATTAGGGCAGAGCGATGTCGGGAATTCGATGAAAGGAAATAGCCCCCTAGGGGAAAGGGAAACGGATGGATTACAATGGGGCCTTGAAAAAGCCTGAAAGCCCCCGCGGATGGCCGAATGGGAATATTTGAGGCCAACATTTTTGGGGAGGATGAGGCGGTAATGGGATGGCATCGAGAACATGAAAAACGGCAAGGGTGGGGAGGGTGTAATTAAAATTTTAGAGGGTTGGGATGTTAATTAGATATTTTTACAAGGGAGATTAGTGAAGTAGGGGAAAATATTGACCTTTGGAAAAGTTTGCGCTTTGGTTCGACAAATAAGTGGGTAAACATTGTTATCTGAGTCCTGGAAAGAGCGGTAAGTGCAGGTGATAAGATAAACGTCTATTTACGAATTGTAAAACCGATTAAGGACCATGATTAAAATCAATGATAACGCCTTAGGCAGAATTATGAGAATTTAAACAAACAATACAATGAGGATATCAGGTTCGATCAATATTAAAGAAAATCTAATCTAGTTTTAACTATGACGAAATTTTCATTAGTAATTTATTGACTTTTGAAGTAGTGGGGGTCATGTGTCGAGTTGAACGGGTGTTCGGCCATCGGCCCGTTGTCCGGGGCGCGTTTTAGAAAGGAGTGGCTGGGTTGGGTTGACCGATCAACAGCCATCTGGCAATGAGGGCAGACATGCAGAGATGCAGAGTACCCCCCACGCCTCTAGCCAACGCCCTGGGTGGTCTGGAGATAGCTAAAAATTTCGTGAAAAAGCATCTGAGATACTTGAGAACATCTTACTGGCGCTTTTGAAAATTCATACTTCTGGATAGGAAGTATATAACCATGAGAAAAACGGGAAATTAACAAAAAAAATTCATTACTGAATCATAAACATAATTTAAATAGATTTTACTGATTTTAGGCGCTAATTGGTCAACAAACTACGTTGATTATTCATATAAATCACGACATTCTCAGCAAAATCTAGTTAGTGACAATTCGACCCAAGCAATACCCTTAAAAACATCCCAAAAATGCTTTTATTAAAACAGTATTTGGCGAATAGTTACAAAATATTAAATAAAGTTTATGAAACATAGTAGTAGCATCATTATGATTTCATTATTTTATGATTAGCAATTGAGACTTTATTGCTAATTTAAAAGTGGCATTTTGCTTAACATCAGACCTTGATTTTCTATAAATTCCAGAAATTCTGTAGCCAGCTATAACATAAATCCCATGCCACCTATACACACCGCCGGAAATCAAATCCAATAGCTCTACGATTCCCTGGATCCCAGTTATTTTCCACCTGTTCCCAATTGTTGTTTTCGCCCTTTTCACCAATCATTACCCCATGAATACCCACGTTCATAGGCGTGCCCGTTGCCGCCCCAGCAAGAGCCAGACACGTGATCGCGCCGGGACCCAAACCCTACCGTAATCCCCCTGTGCAGCTGGGTGGTCTTTTCCATCGGTGATCATTTTCGACTTCCTTCGGGAGTTTTTCCGACAATGGTAAGTAAACTTTTGTTATTTAACGGAAAAGTATGTTTTGGAGAATTCTAAAACTAACGAATTACATGTAAATGGGAACCAACACTTTGGACCCCTTAGTTTATGGTCCGAAACTATGATTTTGAAGAATTGCGTCTAATAATTATTTTTTCGAGGTTTTTGGGTAGATTTTACGTATTGGGGTCAACTAATAGGCAAATTGGCAACAATATACATTTATTTGATCTAGTAAAATCAATTTTTACATTTTATTTACAAAATATTGTTTCAGCCGTCAAAGAAAATCATCAAGAAGAAAGTCGCCCCGACGCCCGCCGCCATGCGTGGTGAGTTTAAGAAGCAAATACAAAACTATGGACAAATAGCGAATCCTTGGATATGCAAAATATTGTTGTATCTCCTGGTTTTTTAATTAAAAGCTAGATAATTCAAATGTTTTTAGGCAAGGGTGAGGCCAAGGGTGCCCCCAAGAACCCACTCTTCGAGCCGAGGCCCAAGAACTTCCGCATCGGCCAGGATTTGCAGCCCAAGCGTGACCTTACCCGTTTCGTCAAGTGGCCCAAGTACATCCGTCTGCAGCGTCAACGTAAGTTGAAGAAAATTAATTATTTTGTTTGGGTATTAAATGCCTAAAAAATGCTGAATTTAGCCTGTTTTTCTATAAGATTTTTAAAATATGCTATTTTTTGAGTACGATTATGAAATGGAAACCCGGCCAAAGTTTTTTGCATGCGCGAACTAATGGTGTATAGCTTGATTACAGTTCTTTGTGGTACAGTAGTGGAGTTCGTTGGTCTACCCGCAATTCTAAAAAAATGATGCTTTCGAAATATGGTTTTTTTTTTAGTTTAATAAATTTGCGAGAACCCGTAGCGTCAAATCTTTAAATACATCGTATGGAAATAATACCCCTTCATTTGCATATCCTGTTTTCCAGGCACCGTCCTCCAGAAGCGCCTGAAGGTCCCGCCGACCCTCAACCAGTTCCGCACCGCCCTCGACAAGCAGACGGCCACCCAGGCCTTCAAGCTGCTGGCCAAGTACAGGCCCGAGTCGGCTGAGCAGAAGAAGGAGCGTCTCCGCAAGCGGGCTGTTGCTCGTGCTGAGGGCAAGAAGGAGGAGGTCACTCCCCGCAAGAAGTCCGTCTACCACGGCATCAACAAGGTCACCAAGCTCGTTGAGCAGCGCAAGGTGGGTGGAGAAAAATGAGTAAAATGCCAAAAACTGTCGTTCTTTTGGCATTAAAAGCAAGATTTTCATAATGAAATCAATGTAATAAACAAAATATTTTATCATAAACAGAGAGTTTAATACATTACGACCTCTATTCCATTTCCAGGCCAGCCTTGTCCTCATCGCCCACGACGTTGAGCCCATCGAGATTGCCCTCTTCTTGCCCGCCCTCTGCAGGAAATTCAAGGTAAAAACAGGATTATTTGAACAGCGTTTAATTAACTAATTACATATTAATTATATTTATACAGGTCCCGTACGCCATCGTCAAGGGAAAGGCCGCCCTTGGACGCCTCGTCCGCAGGAAGACCACCTCCTCTGTTGCCATCGTTGACGTCAACCCGTAAGGATTTTTATTTAATGTATCCTAATGCTTATAATTTTTAATACCCAGAGCTCAATTCTATTTTTTCAGCGAAGACAAGGCCAACCTTACCAAGATTGCCGAAACCGTCGAGACGAACTTCAATGAGCGCGCCGAGGAGATCCGTCGCCACTGGGGAGGCCATGTGATGTCTGACCGGTCAAACGTAAGCATTTAACATTTATTTACCGTACTATGCTATATATAATGCACACCTTAATACCTATTCTATTTTTCAGGCTAAAGCAGCTAAGTTGGAACGCGCCAAGAACAAGGACCTCGCTGCCAAGGCTTAATTCTTTTTTGATTTTGATTTTTGTTATAAATTGTTATTATGTGTAATGTGAGGATCGTAAGCTTGAAATACACACACTAATAAAAACACAGGGTTTGAAAACCGCAGATGTTAAGTTTAGTTATATAGCGGGGAAAACCTGATGTAAAATTGGAAGATTCCGGGAAAAGCTGTAACGGTCCAAAACACCTGTCAATAGGACACTAATGAAAATCAAATTCTCAGAAATACAACGTTTAATTTAGGTCGAGAGAGTCGAGAGACTTTTAAAAACTTAGAATGGGGGTTTTTGATTTCGCTGTCCTCTATAGCTAAAAGTCAGTGCCGAGTTGTTACGAAACAAGCCAAAACCCCATGTTCACTTTTTCAAGAAAGCCCCCCCTCCAGACACCGAGTCCATCCTTTGTCCATCACTCAGTCACTCGACTAGTTATATTTACTCACGGCTGCCTCGTGAAAAGTTCATGCCGTCCCCCACCACATGCCGCCGACTCTCCGATTTTGTGCCGCCACATTCTCAGGCATAAAAAGCGTGGCATACTGGAAAAAGTTTCGATGTTTTTAAAAATATAAAATTCTGTATCTATTGATAAATGTTTTTCTACATTTCGCGAATATTTTAAGGATTTCGTATTTTTAGCAGCATTGCTAACCTTTAAGGGCCCTGGGAAGTCAATAAGGAAGCCGAGTGCAAAACGGTTTAAAATATTATTGAAGGTACATCTCTATACAAAGCCCATCAATTTATAAGACAAATATAGCTATATACTTATACACCTTCATCCTCATATAGCACATACTTATAACATGTTCTCCGAATAATTGAAGCCAATATCTTTCTCTCTATTCAATTAACTTTAATGACTAAAACCCACAGTTTAACGATTATTTAAAGCGAAAATTCTAATCAGGGCTTAATTACAACAAGACAAATGTTCAATTCCGCCGCTTCCTACAAAACTACTCCCCAAAATTTTTATCGCCGACCAGATTTATGGCGAACTTGCGTTGTTTTACCGCCAAATTCCAATCCCATTTACCCAAGAACTGTCGATCAATCGGCTTATCTAACACGAAACCCCCTGATCCCTAGGGTATAGGATCAACCCTGTGTTTTTTTTCCATTTCGAACCCTAGCTAGCGTTTGTCGAGCCGGGTGAAAGGCCTTTGCAGGAGAGAGGGCAGCGTGTCCGGTGTTGGGTTTATCAGTTCAGGTAGTCAAGATAAGCGTCCGATGAAATGGGCATCGAGAAGGCCAGTGCCTCCTATTCCTGACTACCCGATTCTTGATCTGGAAGATGGGCGTGAAACAGGTTTGATTTGGTTTTATTTGGCTATTTTTCTGATAAGTGCGTTGGAGTATTGTAGCCCCTGCTAGACAAAATTTCAGTTTTAGAAAAGAAACAAATTCATTTCCTTTAGAAACACGAATTCCACATCTCCGAACTCAACGAAAAACAAAAAGCAAAAATCCGGGAGCTAAGGTTTGATTTTTCCTTGTGGAAGCAACCACCGCTTTAAGGGAACGACTACAGCCGGAACTCGAGAAATACCCAGAGTACGACACTGAACTATCTTTGCTACGGTGGCTTGAAGGATGGGATTACGATATTGGTATTCTAACAATTTTTTTCAAGCTTTTTTCAGAAGCGATCCTCCCGAAAGCGCGATGGGCTCTCACCGTTTTCCACAACCTTGATTTTCATAATGTATTTTCCATCCCTAAAACTTTATCCCGATTCAGTTCAAAGTCGAAACAATTGATGACATCCACCACTATGCTTGCCGCAAGAGCGAAGCTGTGGAATATTTTCCAGGTATTTTTACTCTAATAATGTCTAAAAATCATTAGGTGGACTTTTTGGGATCGACAAGGAAGGAGATGTAGTATACTGCCAACCCCTCGCGAAAGGTTTGTTGCGGAATACGGTAATAGGCACCATTTTACAGCGGATCCCCGTGGACTTATCAGGTCCGACTCGGTCTCCCAGGTGTTCAAGCTGGAATTGGCAATGATTGAGGGGGCATTTAAACTGGTCAGGTATCAATATAAATGCTTAATTTGAAATTGGCATACATTTAGAAACCAAGAAGCCAAAACGGGAAAGAAATCGGGTATGAAGATTATTATGGACCTAGAGGGCTTTTCCTACTCCGAGCATATTTATATGCCCTCAATTAAAGAGTACCTTAAATTGTTGTCGCTGGTTCAGGTATGGAAAAATTTTAACGGCAGCAATTTTTGATTTAGGCAGTGTTTCCGGATTTTTTGAAGAGACTGTGGGTGGTCAATCCGCCAGCAACAATGTCTGTGGTAAATCTCTGTAATATATTTTCATAATTTTTAGGTTTACAACATTATCAAGCCCGTCTTGGCCAAGCAAACCCAAGAAAAAATTCAAATTCTAGGCAAAGATTGGAAGGAAATTCTGGTTAACACTGTAAGGAAAAAATCCGGTTGTGTAAAATAGATTTTAGTGCGGCGCTGAAAATTTGTACCCCCAATGGGGTGGCACAAAGCAAGCGGATTCTCCATTTGGAACAGTTCGACGTGGAGGAAAAGTGCCGGAAAAGCTACAGTATGCTATTAAAAATATAGACAATTTATTTTTTTAGTTATTCTCCTAGCAACAATTCGTTTGATGATGAGCTCCAGATGCAGACGCTCAATGTTGCTTCCCGCCAAAAGATTGATGTATGCAAAATTGAAAAATGGATGTAGCTTTCGTTTTTAGGTGAAAGTCCATGCAAAGAAGGGCCAAGAAATCCATTGGCTTTTCCGTGTTGGTTCGAAGGATATTGATTTTTCGGTCCGTTTCGATGATCGAGAGGTAAAGAAAAATTCGGGAAATTCTCCGAATGTTTTAGGTCTACCCAGTCTTTCGTGTCTCCACCGAGTTTGTACCCGAAATGAATTACATGACCGCTCGTGAAACTGGGGAATATGCATTGACCTTTGACAATTCTCATGCTATGGTGCGTTTTGTAAAATTGTCCCTATCTCAACCTTTATTCAGATGTGGGGCAAGGAGATCAAATACCGCGTAGAAGTGAGGGATGCTCTCCAAAATTAGCAATACGTGCATAAATATACATATTTCGTGTTGAAGGATAAATGGTTTGTCCCCTAAAACAGTCCGCTTTGTTGCAACGACTCCTTCACAATTGCCACGGTATTTCCGAAGCGCTGACCAGTCGATTTGATTTGACGGTGTTCCCTGAAAGAACTATTTATTCGTAAAAAAGGTAAACGATACCTATTAGACTTTTTCGCAAAGCTGATACTAGCCCAGGCGGTCGTTAACTTCGTCTAAATTCATTGAATCAAAAAAAATCCAAGGGGTCTTACCTCTACTCCCATGAAGAGAGGGACCAAAAAGAGAATCGACGACGCAATAAATGCAAAAACGAGGAACTGGAAGTACCAGGCAAACTGCGAAATGAAACCCTGGGTCGCCGAACCAAAGAAGCCACCGATCTAAAGGAATAAATGGATTTTGACCCACCCTTTGGCCACTTGCCATGCTTCCCAAGCCATTCGCCAGGTCTTGCCCCAAATTCAACGCGACTCTGAACCCATTAAAATACCAGAAGCTTGTTTGCGCATAGTATTCCGTGCACTTCTCGCTTTCATACACCCACCACCATCTAAAAATAGCAAAAAATGGGGATTACGATCTGTAGTGGCTACAGGTGTAGCTTTATCACTCACCGGCACGAAATCGGCGGCCCCCATTCCTGTTTAACCTTGGACAATAGCTTGTGATGGGTCAGGAGCCGGATCAGCTCACCGAAAATCATGCTAAAGATAATGCTATATATATAATTATATCTTAACTTAGCATCATGACCTGTCCTAAGCAATTCTAATTCATGAAAACCTAAAGAAATTGCTCAAAATCGATCACCTCTTCGCCCAATTTTCGTTGTTTCGGTCGTTTCAAAAAAGTATAAGACGCCTTGGAAAACAGGTCCTATATATTCAAATTCCCCCTTTTAAGCTGGATAAAAACAGAAAATCCACGCATATTTAGAGGCAAAACAATAAATATACCAAAGAATAACTTACCAAGTCGGGATGGCTGACACCCAAAAGTTAGCGTGAGGATTATTCGGAAAGTACACGCGTAGCACAGCGGCAGTAAGTGAGAATACACCGACTAATATCGCAGCCCAATGAAACCAGAATAAAATAATTGATAGCAAATCGAGTGGGGAGCCCCAATAAATATACCAAAATGGACAACTAGCGGCCGCAAGCGCTGCTCTGGGGTGTTGTTGAAACCAAGAAACCATCTTTTCAGCGTTTTTTCGTAAGTCTCTTAGAAACTGATTATTAGGTTGTAGCTGCCTGGATGAGCTGAGAATACGTTGATTCATGGCGATAAACGGGGCTATAAATCAGAGGGATTTTGTGCTGCAACAATAATCTGTAGCTTGAGGATTGGACCGATTACGCGCGCAAAAAGGGTTACCTCTTGGGCTTGGGTAATGATCGATTGTTTGCATGATCCAGGGCAGAGGTTGCGGCAAGAAATGCGCAAGGTAGAGAGTTTTTGAGTTTATAAGTGTTATTTTTGATGTCTTTCTTCATACTAGGTTAACAAAACGCTTTTTACATTAGATAATCATCAATCTTCTGAGGTAGAGCAGGGAACATGCAAATAAGCACTAAAAATACCTTTCAAAACTACTTCTTAAAATGATTAATCGATTTAAATATACAAAAGCCGTTTTGGCAGTAATCTCTTTCACAAATGATAATTACCTTCCTTAATGTGGTGATCATAGCGAATTATAACAGAAAAACTTCTTTTTTTTGTCTTAATAAACCCGTTTATTCATATGCAATTGAAATTTATGCAAACTCGCGTAAAGTGAATGATAAAGTCTCATAAAAGACGGATTTGCCTTGGTTGGCACAATAAAAAAGAGAGCTTATCGTTTTGGCAATAGCAAATGCACATTGAATTTGGCGACAAGATCAGCGGATGGCCATTGGTGTGTGACGGAACAGCGAGAAAAGGTGGGTTGGTTTTGACCATGAGATTGAGCAAAATGAGACCGTTGAATACCTAGAATATATAGTTTTTCATTGAATTTTGCATATTACCAACCCTTTGGAATTTTGATAGGGAGGTACCCGTAGTTAGGATCATAGCGGAAAAATAATCGAGCGGAGCTTAGAATTCTGGCGGTGGCTCGAAACAGTCGTCAGTCATGATTATTGTAGAACGGCGGCTAAAAAGGTGTATTAAGATTATGAAAAACTTCAGATATCCTACTATATATAAAAAATAGTGTCTGTGTCTGTGTGTGCATTTGCATGCAACTTCCGTCACCGTGTTCCAGTAGTATCTCAAGAAGGGAAGTACTTAGGGGTATGTTCGATACGTCATTAGGTGCGTAATGGGTTGGAGATGACTGCAAACATATTAGATTTTACAAAATATGATGTTTTCGACATTAAAATTAAGTTTTTCATGGAAAATCGGACAACCCAATTTGTTAGGATCAAATTAGCATGCACCGGAAGTCGCGGTAGCCTATATAAAGGGACGGCAAGAGCATTTTTCACTTGTCGTCAAGCGAATCCGGGAAAATTATGCAAAGCCAAGAATATCATTGGAGAAGACGGGGCCAGGGCTGAAAAGCCGCGAAGCGGTTTTTCAACCCTGGTGCAGCCTATTTAGTTATCACGGTTTTACAAAAATTTTACGAAAAATTCAGCTATTTCCGACTCACCTGAATGATTCAAATGGATCGATAACCTCCGCCATTGTCGGCTTTTCCGAATCTCCATGTACAGCCTAAAAACAAACTAAAACCAACTATTTTTAACAAACCTTCTTCCGCTTAACAAGATTTTTAAACGCCGCATATTTCACCGAGAAAGAATAGACCTCAACCAGACAAAATACGGCCGCGCTCCCAAGCAAAATACTAAACAATGCCTTGAAAAAATAGGACAAAAACGCGACTCACTAAAATTCATATGATATTAGTTGACCCGAGTTGAGGAATTGCACAAGGCAAATGACTAAAAACGCGTATTTTTGTGAGAAAACCCAATCTAAGCTTACCTGCGTATATTAAAATCCCAAGCACAACTCCGAGCACAACAACTGAGACGAAGAGATACGGTAAGACCAGATATGGAAGAACTATCTTCCGCGATACACCGAATAATATTAACGATGTTAGCCACACAATCTAAACAATGATTTTTATTTAGTTAATAGGACTGGATATATAATATTTTTATATATTAACCCACCAGAACAATTAATAGGGGCAAAAAGTAGAAATTCGGCAACACTTGGCTCAACTGGGTGTTGTTGTAGCTGATAGAAATCGGGTTTGGGGGGTTACGCTGGTTGGCAAACCTCCAATCTGGTTGTGCTAGTCGGAGAATGAGAAAGGCTGTCGATAGGGCCACGGTGGTGATGTCAAACAGCACGACGAACACCACCGCCATCCGGTTTCCAGTCCCCTTGAAAAATTGTTGTAGTTTGTATGCTAATTTCGAGGAATTCTTAGGCATTGGTAATTTCGGTGTCAACGTTTTTCAAAAATCTTGTTGTTTTAAGTCATGTTTTTTTTCAAAATCTGCTGAGCCTTATAGAGCGAGAAAATCCTTCAAACCAAAAATCCTTGAAAATAAACAAAAAAAATGGAGCATATTAAAAATTATATATGATAGTTACTATTTATTAATTCTATTAAAAATATTTATGATTGTAAGATATTAAATGTGGTGAACTTTCTTTAATTATAATTAAATAAGCTTACCAATTGACTGGGAGGCGGACTGTCCGCCATGGACAATTTTGGGTACCCGTCTTGTCGAGGCTGAAAGAAAGATATTCTTAAACTATAAACCATCAAATATCACGTTTAAAAAGAGCGAAAAACAATGAAATTTTGAGAATCTAAAAAAATTGTACTATTTCGAGGGACGCTGCGTGTAATATTGGCAAATCGCAAATTTCCGGAACGCCATACGCGCCACCCCGGCTATTCCCGAGATTCGAGCGATATGAGCTAGCCCGAAAAAAAAAGCGGAAAGGGTCCATTGTGAGGGCCCAACCACCAAAAGGGTCCAACCACCACAAACGAATGATATATAAGGGAGTGGACACCGGAAGGGGCCATCAAAAGGCCTGTTTCCCCCTCCTCTTTCCGAGCACATGAAATTCGATGCTTTCCGGGGCGACCGACTGAATACTAATCAATGCTTTTGGTATTGTTGGAGAGGAGTGGTCAAAACACGAGCTTAAATTAAGGGAATAGTACCTAAAATACATGAATACTAAGCTCGTCCGCAAAATTATTAGACCTGAACTCTAGTACAATCCTAATTGTTAAATATTAACAAATTCAAAAACTCACCTTGCATCGTAGAACAAACAATTAAGATAACAGAGTCTCCAAGACACCGCAACCACGGATAAAAATCACAAAAATAAAAGAGCCAATGAAGACATTTTGGCATCGATATATCGAACAGGAAAACCTGGATATATAACGAAAAAAAGACAGTCTTTGGAATCTAAAACCTCGTCCCCGTCGATAAAAATAACAAATTGCCAAAACGTCAATGAAGAAACTACGTCCCAACCAGATTCCCCCTAATTGGCTCAATTTCCGAGCCAAACCTAACGAGACGCCCGAGACCGGGATCAACCCAAAAACCCTCTGATTTTGTGTTTTGAGTCTACCAAACAAAAACGGCAAGCCAATCGACCGGAATTGGCCAGAAAAATTGGCTGGGAGCTACAATCAGAGTTGCTCCAGGCAACAAGAGACGAAGCCACGTGGGAAGGGGGTTGGGTACTTGAATACCCTTTTGACACTTCAGACCTTTTAGGGCGTTGTCCGTAAAATCCATGAGAAAAATGGGTGGGTAGGAGAATGGCTTAAAACGGGAAATGGGTTTTGGAAAGGGAGGTATTATTAGCTTGTAGAAAAGACTGGATTAAATTAAGTTATTTTAAAGGTAGAACGAATACTTAAACAATTGCGGTCAAATTAAAATCTGTTACTTTTCTAACTTTTGAATTTTAGTACTTTGGATATTGCATTAATTCTCACAACCGTGAAGTAATACCTGACGTCATTTGTGATGCCACCGCTTACATAGATAAGTTGGACCCGGGCGGAACACGAAAGTTGCGTAAAAATGACAGGCCCTTGTCACAAAGCAGCGCCTAGGCCTGTGATAACAGGAGGTTACGAATATACGTCAAATATTGAATGTTTTTGGAATTTGGTATTTTCCAAACGCCAAATTTCTTAAAAATGGCGAAGCTAGTAAAATCGGTTTTGATAAATAGTTAACCGACTCAGGGGACCTTCAAAAATTGGTGAGCCCGATAACAAGCGGGATTCCAAGCTTTGGAAAAATGACTTTTAAAAAATTGTAATCAGAAAAGTCACACAAACAACAAACACAAACACAAAAATTCGTCAGTTGGTATGATCGTGAGAGCAAAAAACCCGCTATTAAGCGAGTATAAATTCTTTTTTTTGCGAAATCATTAACGATCGCGACCAACTATCCGAAATTGAGAACTCCGAAAAAAACCGAATTAAGCCAGCTAAACAAATTTTATGTAAAGAATCGATCGACCCCAGCGGGCCACTGAAAAAATCTAAGATCACCAAAACAAGCAAGATTTCAAGCCTCAAAAAAAATACCCTTAAAAATTTTTAAAACCCTAAAAAGCACCGGGACTTCATCGGTTGGCATGGCCGGGGCAAGCGTGGCCTCAAAGAACCCGAGTGTGCAGTCAGCTGTGTGATCGACCCGTCCACAAAAAGGAGGAAAAATCGCAAAGCAGCGGTTGACCAATGTTGAAGAGAAACTGTAGCCCCCCCCCCCCGCCCGTCAGATCGGCCCTTCTTCCTTCATCTTTTCCCACACACAACTCACGAAATCGTCACGGAAACGGCCTCACGATTTGATAAGTCAACGCGGCCAACCGGTCAGCTGTCTGCCCTCATCAGGCATTTTTTGTTTTTTCGGAGCGTTGCGTTGAAAGGGGGGGCTAAACAAAATATAAAAAGGAACAATTGGGGCTCGGCACGCCTGGAATTGATTCGAAAATTTTTGGGGTGGCATTCTGGCAAATTCTGCCGAACGCTAGTCAAAAAGACCTTTAAAAATTATTGGAAACAATAATTTAGTAACCGACTGATCATACTTTGAATTAGTTCATAGAAACTTAAACGCAAAAACATAAATAGGAAAATTCTAATCTAAATATTCTAAATAGAATGGTTTTCTACTACTACGCAATAACAAATCGTATCCGTGTCAAACGAATTTAAATGATCAAACCGTTTTTGATTAAGTACTGTAATTATCATAGTCTATAATTATAACGAGTTCGTCAGCGTATTATTTAAACTATTTAACAATTCTCAAATTCAAAATGAGAGAAGCTGAAATATCCATGAGCTGCCCGATTCCCTCACCAAAAGTCAAGCCGCTAACCGGTCGACTTGTTTACCCACTTTTAGAGATGAAAAGGCCAGCCGATCTTTTTCCACGATAAACATTACTGTCCTCCCGCACACACCGCTGCAACACAACTATGGCATTGTTGACAATCGGTGCGCTAATGCGAATCAGTCGAAAAATTTAACCCCACGTGTAGTGCCGAATAGGGTTCGTTTTATTCAAAGCAAATGCACCCTCGAATCTCTGGATTTAACTAGAATTACGGTATGTAATTAAATCTACAAATATTTGGAAAACAAATGGAGAAAACCACGTTTTTTTGTTAGCTTTCGCAATAAAAAATGTCTAGTAGTTTTTAAACAAGTACAGGGTGTCCCAAAAAATCGACCCCCTCTAGCGGGCCGCAGTCGTTCCCGATTCTGACGATTTAGGTATCTATCGAAAGCTTGGAAAAAGGCGAGAAAACAAGAACGTTTCGTTTTTTAGTATATTTGTTTTTATTTACTAAATTTAGGGCCAAAATCCATGAAAACTGCAGATTTTAGGTAAAATCAGCATGCTGATTGCTTGCTAAAGCAAACAGGCCGATGCTGATTTTACGCAAAACGAAAGGCGAAAATCACCTCTGCGTAAATTCATTCGTTTGTAATTTGTTGTAATTTGTAGGCTCCAACACAGACCCATAAAATGGTTGAGCTAGTGGAGCGCATTTTCGTCGGTTGGGGGCCTCTGGGATTAGCTTCGCCCCTTTGGCCAGCTGCACGGTCGGACGTTTTTATAAAACGCACTTGAGGGTGGTGAATGGGCCGAATCGAAGAACCCCCTTTTCCTTCAGCCTTTCCCTATTCCCCTTCGTTCAACCCGAAAGGCGCCTAATAACGGCATAACGGGTGGCTGTTTTTCTGGTACCCAGACCGCATAAAAAAACCAGGTAAAATCACGCTAATTTTGTGGGTAGCGGACGAAAAAAAGAGCGGTCCGCTAGGAGGGAAAATCACGCGAGGACCTTTGCGAAAATCGCCTCTCCGAAAACTCATCCATTTGAAATTTGTAATTCCGACATTTATCTGAATAATCGATTGCTCGAAAAACACCTGTTTAAAAAAAACAGTTCTTAGGAAAATCAGCTGTTCGAAAATCATGTGTTCCAAAGGCATCTGTTCAAAAAATCAACCGCTCAAAAAATTTCCGTTCAAAAATTGTCGTTCACAAATTCAAAATCACAAAGAAAGCAGAAATCAGACATTTTCTGTGGTATTTTCGGCGAAAGATGCAAATTTTGGAGCATATGAAATTAAGTAATTTTTGGACATACTTTTTGAACCTGGAGGTTGAATAATTGATCTATTTCCGGTACCCAGAGATCTGACAAAAACCAACGAAAGTCACACTAATTTGGGGTTTGGAAAAACTTGAGTTCCCCTTTGTCGCAAGCGAGTCATGCGAAAGGCGTCTGCCCCCCCATCCCCAAAAACAATCGTTCGTCACGAGTTTATCAATTTGTCACCGGAATTTTAGATAGACCTGCCCTTCCCTCATTGCCCCTTCGTTCTTTCTACGCCTCCCTGCCAAACGCCGTCGGGCCCGAACAGTGTAAACATCGCCCTATAACCCCTGACCACATTTGGTATCTGATTTCTCGGCTTTTTGGTGGCTGCCGGCTCGCACCGGCTGGTGGTCAGCTGTAAAAGTTTTTGGCCCCTGGGTTCGAACTCGCGGGAAAAGCGATAAGTGCTTGCCAGGATTCGAAGTGGGTGAGGTACCGCTTATATCGGCTTTAAGTAGGCAAACCAGAAAAAAAATCGATTCGATTTACCAAAGACCAAAAAAATAGCATCTTAAATTCTCCCAAACTTGCAATTATACTTTGTGATGAAAGCTGGCCATCGAAAGAGCAAAAAATGTAATTGCGAGCAGGTGACCCAGGCATGCCCACTGTTTATATATTAGTATCGTAGCAAATGACAATTGACTTGAGGTTTGGATTTTGAGGTCATGGACAATATCAAGGCGCTAGAAAATCAAGGCAATTTCCCTCGCTTTCGGTCGCAGCTTAGGAACGACGGGGTGACGCTTAGCCACTCTCCCGCGAAGAGCCTGAATGCATTAGCACTTGCTTGCCCCTTCATGAGGTCAAATAAGTTCAGCAGCTGCTAGGAATTCGAAAACTGCGTAAAAGGAAACCGCCAAGCCCATCAAACCACAATTGGGATTGTAGCGCATGACGAAAAACCTCCAGCCCACTTAACGACAAAACACAACCCTCGTAAAAATCATAAGAGGAACGGCGGCCCCTGATGGGAGAAATGGGGCCGTGCAGTAAATAGTGATAGAGAGAGGCTTGGAAGAAAATAAC